TGAGAACATCTGCAAGATAAAACCCTTTTAAGGAAGGCAGTTTTGCCTGGGATAATACATCCCCCCCCCCGAAATAATATACTCTTAAATTCCTGTCCCACCTCCTTCTATCTGTAAAATCCTTCCATTTCATATAGTTCCTGGGAACTCACTTCTCTTTACTAGATGGAATGCTGCTGATTCACGAATTATTGAATAAAGTGAATTAGATATTTAAATTTAAATTAACAGGGGCCAGAAACTAGAGATCACATATTCCAGGACTCCATTTACATGAAACATCTAGAGTGGGTAAATCCCTAAAGACAGAATGTAGATCGGCGATTGCTAGGGGCTGGGGAAAGGAGAGAGTGGGGAGAATCTGCTTAATGGGCACAGGATTTTATTTTGGAGTAATGGAGATGCTTTGGAACCAAAAAGAGGTAGTGGCTATACAACATTGTGAATGTATTATTAAAAAATGAAGTTGAGATGAGTAAATTTGAAGATCTCATTGACTTTATGAAGCAATTCATGAATCTTCAGGCTACACCCTCTCTAGCAAGTAGATAGATGCTTTGAGGAGTTGTACAAAATGAAAGATTTTTATAGGCAGGAGGGTGGAGAAAGGAAGTTATTAGCAAAAGGAAAGATTATTTCAACAAGGTCATCCTCCCTAGGGGGAAGGTCAGGGATCTTATTAGGTGGATTACCTCCTCTTCCCTCTGGAGGTTGGAGAAGGGCCCATGTGACAGGTTACCTCATTGGCACTGACTAGAAGATTCCTGACTGACTGGTTAAGACAACGTTTCTGGGAGAGGTTGAAATGGCAAGTAGATTAGGTACTAAGTCCTGGTTTGGTGGCTTGGCCTAGCATAAGTGACTCCATCTTGGGATTGTGGTTTTTCCCTCGAACAGTACTAAGCAACACTGAATCATTCACTTTAAAATGGTTAGTTTTGCTGCTGTAAACGTTTTTTATAGTAGCAGTGTCCACAGTAGTCAAACTATGGAAAGAGCCCATATATCAATAGACAAATGAATGGATGAAAATGTGAATGTATGTACAATGGAATATTATACAGCCATCAAAAATGAAATCTTGTCTTTTGCAACGACATGGATGGAACTAGACGATATTATTCTCAGCAAAATAAGTCAATCAGAGAAAGTCAGTTATATGATTTCACTCATATGTGGAATCTAAGAAACAAGACAGGATCATAGGGGAAGGGAGGGAAATATAAAACTAGATGAAATTAGAGAGGAAGACAAACCATAAGAGACTCTTAGTGACAGAAAACAAACTGAGGGCTGCTGGAGGGGAGGTGGATGGGGGGATGGGGTAACCGGGTGACAGGAATTAAGGAGGGCATGTGATGTAGTGAGTGCTGGGTGTTATATAAGACTGATGAATCACTGACCTCTATCTCTGAAACTAATTATACACTATATGTTAATTGATTGAATTTAAATAAAATAAAAAGTTAAAAAAAATGGTTAATTTTATGTTATGTGACTTTTACCTCAATAAATTTTTTAAAATCCAGAAATTACCCTGGCAGGTGTTAAGACAGGTCATTGTAGTTGCTTTTTCCAGAGGCCCTACCCTGTCTCCAGTTCCCTGTTGACCAGGGTAGGCCTTAGCCTTGGCCTAGAAGCGAGGATCCTTACCTGGGGCTGTGATCTGATTACTTCCTTATTAGCAGCAATAAAAATCAGCTTGACTTAGATAATGTACTTTGCAACCAAGAAATGATAAACATACTCACCAATGATAATGATGGTAAAATGGCCATTCTCACAGCCCCAAATGCCCTCTCTCCTTCTCTTTTTCTGGTCAAATATTCCTCTGTCCATGGTGTCACCCTCCTATGAGAAATACCCTCTCCCTACCCCCTGCAGGGTGGTTCCCCAGCCCACATTTCTCTGCCTTCCCCCAAGCTCCCAATACCTTTGGGGATGTCTGCATCCCCAAGGTGGAGCACCCCACCTAGGTCCTCTATGTAAGTGAATTTTGTAATAGTCTTTTCTTTTCTTCTTTAGGTGGGTGCCACGTCCAACTTGGAACACATCATGGGGCTTGAACTCACATCCCTGAGATCAAGACCTAAGCTGAGATCCAGAGCCAGATGTTTCACCGACTCAGCCACCAGGAGCCCCTCCCTTGGTCATAATCTTGTTCACACTTTGCCTCCAGGGTGTGCCCTAGTACTGTGCACAGTGAAGACTGATTCAGATGGATAGAGAGGTCCCCTGATCCTGGAAATAAACACGTAACCAACCAGAATCTCCTGCTGGAGCTCAGAAGTAGGCCACAGTTGGCAAGGCATGTTGTCTGGAAAAAATCAGTGGGCTTGGCAGCTACCATTGTGCCATGTCTCTTTGGGAATCCCTTGAACTGTGTGCAAAAATGTTTGATGAGTGTTTGTATATTTTCTAGGGAGAGATTGATTTCTTTCATCTGATTATCAAAGAAGGTTGTGTTCTAACTAAAGGTCAGGAACTCCAGCTTGTGAACGTAGATAATCTTGGCCAAATGAACCCTCTGGCCTTCTCCTTTCCCCTCTGTCCCTTGCTGAACAGTTCAGGAAGTTTTTGTTGTTGTTGTTTTTAAATATTTTATTTACTTGTTTGACAGAGGGAGAGATCACAAGTAGGCAGAGAGGCAGGGAGAGAGAGGGGGAAGCAGGCTCCCTGCTGAGCAGAGAGCCTGATGCGGGGCTTGATTCCAGGACCCTGAGATCATGACCTGAGCCGAAGACAGAGGCTCAACCCACTGAGCCACGCAGGTGCCCCAGGAAGTTTTTCAAGGTAGAAAAATATGTAATTTTTTCAGTGATTTTTGAACTTTTTATCCTAGGAGCCCCAAGCTGGGTTCCTGACAAAAACTAGTAGTGATGTTCTTCTCAAATATAGCAAAAAGTTAATTGAAGAGATTTTATTATTTAAAAGAAGGTGGGTATTAGGGAGGTCACGGATTGCATGGAGCACTGGGTGTGGTGCAAAAACAATGAATACTGTTACGCTGAAAAGAAATATTAAAAAAAATAAAAGAAGTTACTACTTTTGAAAAGGCTATATGTTCATAAGGTAAAACATTAAAGTGGTATAAGAGGAAAGTACTTTTATACTATGAAGAATGATATTTCCTTTAGGTTTTTTGGTAGATCCTTTCATCATGTTAAGAAAATTCCCTATTAGTATTTTAAGACTTTTATGTCATAAATGGAAATTGAATATTATCAAATGCTTTTTCTAAAAATATTTTGATGATAGGACTTTTCTTAATCGGTTAATGTGATAACTGATATTTCTATTTTTCTCGTTAACCACCCTTGAGTTCTAGAGTCAAATCCAACTTGGTCAGAGTGTGTTATCATAGCTGCATTAGGTGTGCCAGCTGAGGGTCAAGCAAAACACACTAGGAGTTCAACAATTAGAGACAACTGCTTGTTGACCCATGAATTGATTCAGGCAATTGGAGACGACTTGCCCTCTCCTCTGTCCTTGGAATGTGTGTTTTGCTGCCTTCCCCATCCCAGAAATTGCCCCAAAGATACAGCTTCAACATAGTGATGTGGTGTTGAAATGTTCTGGATAGTACAAATTAAGGCCTCTGAAACAAATTAAGGCCTCTCTAAACTATTAAGATATGGCATTTGGGTATGGAGATCTACTTCTTCAGCTGCCCAAGACAAGACTTGTGAGTAAATTCCCTTTGCTTATTAAAACTGCTGATCTGGGGTGGTATTGTATTACTCAGATGTCTTCCTGCCTTTTTGCATACAGGAACCAGTTTCAGATTACACCTGAGTAGGTTTTGAACTCAATCTTCCTTGAATGTTATTTGAGATTCAACTTGACCAATATCTAAGGAAACAGAGAAAGCTGATAAGCTGTTCCCTGTTGAAAAGAATGCATGGTTGCTTTTTTCTTGGCTGTACTAAAATTGTCTGTTAGTTTTCTCTGCTACAACTGAATGATGTCTGGGTCCTAGTTATATTTCTACCCCATGCATTGGAGCAGAGTATGGAAAGTATGTGATGAACATAGTGCAGGAAGGAGTAGATGAGAGCCATGGGGTATGTGCGGTGTTCTTCCAACACACATGTCTTCCTTCACACCCTCTGTGCAACTCTGAGGATGTGAGTCTCCTTGGGTCAGGTGTTCCTCCTGGGGAAGGATGGGGTGCAAAGCTCATGCCTCTATTATTTCATCCTTGCAGACAAGGCCATTTGCATTGGGTCAGTGCTGGCTGTATTTCAGTCCTCAGCAATGACTAGCCTATCACTGTTGGGATGGATTTCATGCAGCTGGAGCAGGCACTGAGGTGAACAGGGCAGGTGGATGCTCAAATTAAGCTCAGTTACGAGTCATTCCAACCAAGCCTAGGATTTGGAGAAGGTTGAAACCAAGTCTCTGTGGGTAAAATAAAGTAAAATAAGAGGCTTTGTGTTTAGGTGAGAGAATTAATTGTCCAGATTATCAGATGACTGGAATCTTTCATTGTTTTTGTGTACTCTCTGTAGTTCTCTGCTGGGGAACACGGTGGGGAGATCCCACCCAAGAATACACTTACTTGCCATCTTGCATGTGTCTTCCCTGCTGAGATGAGGCAGAGTCTTTTGTTCTGAAAGACCCCCAGAGAAGTTGCTGTGTGGGTCGCCATGGAGTTAGGGACAGAATTTTAACCAGTTTGCTGTTGCAGCCTGGGTTTCCCTATTTCCTGTAGTGACCCTTATCAGGGAAGGGCAAGCACTGAAAACCGATATTTCAGAACACAGACTTTTCAGTCTCTCTTCATGTTTACTTATTTACACTTTTTTTTAAGAGTAGGAAATCATGAGGATGCAGTCAGTGAGTCTCAGTCTCTGTATCTGTAAACAGGGATAATAGCATGACCTCTGGAATGGTGCCCAGTGAAGGCACCAAAAGGGGACAGAAATATTTCAGAATTCCTAGGACTCTCTGGGGATCATCTTCCAGCTTCCTATGTCTGTCCATTGTTGCTATTCAAGATTGCAGCCACTTCTTTCTTAATTATCTCTTTGCAGGGCTCCATTGTCCCAGAGATTCCTGAGGTATGCCACATAATCCAGTTTCTCAGGCCATGCAGACACAGAACATGGGTCAGAGTGGTATTAATGAGCAGTGTAATTTCCAGGTATGTTCTTAGATCTCACAGCAGGATGTGGCCTGGTCACCAACAATCCACCCAGAAAGGACACACAGGAAGCCCCGCAATTTTACCTTTAACAACTTAACTCCACCAATCTTTCTGGATGCTCCTCCGAGCATATAGGGCTTGGCTGGGGACTAGGGACATAATGTTGACAAGTACTCAGACTGTACCCTTGAGAAGCTGTAAGCCAAAGAGATGTGTAGACCAACTATGGGACTGGAGGGTAGAAAGGACGATAATAGAACTGGGGCTGGGGGACAGAAATTTCCCAGAGGATGAAGTGGTTATATCTGTTCAAGGATATTGAGGAGGAAAGACTCTAACAGAGGGGATTCTGTTGGATCTAGGTTTGAAGGATGAGTAAGGATCCTTGTAGGGGGTATAGGGGCATTTCTAGGCAGAGAAGACAACATCAGTAAAGATGTGTAGATCTACACTTTCTTGTTTGCAGAGTTTCAAGTATTTAGAGGTGCAGGGAGCCATGCTGACAAGGACAGGTTAGAGATTGAAGGACAGTAATTTTAATGAGTTTCTGTAACTTTATAGATTACCGGTAATGCTGAGTTGTTTATTGATTTCCCACAGAATGTGAACTCATAGAAAGTCAAATTTGGAGTGTCCAGGACACTTTGTCAGCACTCATGGCTGGGGAGCACCTGTGGGTGGAGCTCAGGTGGCCGGGCTACTGGCTGTTGCTCCAGCCCCGCCCCCTTTTCAGTATATACTTCCCAGCCTCACTGAATCACCGCTGGTGAGAGGGGAAGCTCCGCACCCACAGGCCGGCAAGGACTAGCACACACTGCTGAACGGAAGCAGAGAGACTACACAAAGGAAAAGTGGCCATGGACCTGATCCCAAGCTTTTCCATGGAAACCTGGCTTCTCCTGGCTACCAGCCTGGTCCTCCTTTATCTGTGAGTAACTGTCCAGGTTCATTGCTTCTGGAACCCTGGACCTGGGTTGCTAATCAGCATCTATTTTCTTTGTCTGCTTTGAGGATCAAAAGAGTTAACAAAGGGGAAGTTGCTTAAGTGTTGGGCACCTCAAACATGCTAGGAACATGTAAGGGGTTATTATTGACTTCACCAGATCTGAAGAAGGAGTGTCCCCCACCTCAACTCCAATTGCTGTAGCCAGGAGGTAGAATGACATTGTTTGCTCCTAGGGATGAGTTTCTGATTGATTACCAGCTGGGACCTAGACTAATCAAGATACATTCAGGAGAGGCAGAAGAATCACCATGTCTGGTGCTCTGGGGTCCTCACCCTTTTCCCAAGCTGTGGGAATGCTGGAGGCAGAGGGACTGGGTTGGATTTTTGTCTCATTATCTTGACCTCCTTGGTCTCTTTCCACTATAGGAATCATGTAGAAGGATTGGACCTTTGTCACTCAGGGGGTCCTGCTCCCCTCTCTCCACCACCAGACATCATGTACACAAGGCACATGGTGCACCCAGACTTCCAGGGGGGCTGGAGATGCCTCACTTTCTCTTCTGACTAGGCTCTTTCCCCTTTTCTCTGCCCCTCTCTTAACCATCCCCCGGCCCTGTAATATGCAGAGCTCTTGAACTCTAAATGAGCATCTTTAGAGCTGAGGAGACTTGGCCGATTTCTTAAAATTTTATTCATTTCACCTTTTCTTTACAGTGTCTTGGAGGGTTAGCATCAGTATAAAGATTCTGCCCCCCCATGAAATCTGCCAGCAGCCACAAAGATCCTGAAAGCCAATTTGAATTTTATTTTATTTTTAATTTTTTAAAAAGATTTTATTTATTTGACAGAGAGAGATCACAAGTAGACAGAGAGGCAGGCAGAGAGAGAGGGAAGCAGGGTTCCTGCCGAGCAGAGAGCCCGATGCGGGACTTGATCCCAGGACCCTGAGATCATGACCTGAGCCGAAGGCAGCGGCTTAACCCACTGAGCCACCCAGGTGACCTATTTTTAATTTTTAAAGGATTTTATTTATTTATTTCTCAGAGAGAGAGAGAGAGAGAGAGTGTGAGTGCACAAATAGGGGAGTGGCAGGAAAGGGAGAAGCAGACTCCCCACTGAGCAGGGAGCCTGATGCGAAGCTTGATCCCGGGACCCTGGGATCATGACCTGAGCTGAAGGCAGATACTTAACTGACTGAGCCACCCAGGCCCCTCCCTGATTTGGATTTTTTAAAAAAATTTTGTTTTATTTTTTTCAGTGTTCCAAGATTCATTGTTTATGTACCACACCCAGTGCTCCATGTAATATGTGCCCACCTTAATACCCACCACCAGGTTCACCCATCCCCCTCCCCTCCAAAACCCTCAGTTTATTTCTCAGAGTTCACAGTCTCTCTCTCATGCTTTGTCTCCCCCTCCGATTTCCCCCAATTCACTTTTCCTTTCCTTCTCCTAATATCCTCCATGTTATTCCTTATGCTCCACAAGTAAGTGAAACTATATGATAATTGACTTTCTCTCCTTGATTTATTTCACTGAACATAATCTCTTCTAGTCCCGTCCATGCTGATACAAAAGTTGGATATTCATCCTTTCTGATGGAGGTGTAATACTCCATTGTATATATGGACCATATCTTCTTTATCCATTAGTCTGTTGAAGGGCATCTTGGCTCTTTCCAGTTTGGCCATTGTGGCCATTGCTGCTATGAACATTAGGTTACATATGGCCCTTCGTTTCACTACATCTGTGTCTTTGGGGTAAATACCCAGTAGTGCAATTGCAGGGTCATAAGGTAGCTCTATTTTTAATTTCTTAAGGAATCTCCACACTGTTTTCCAAAGTGGCTGCACCAACTTGCATTCCCACCACAGTGTAAGAGGGTTCCCCTTTCACCACATCCTCACCAACACTTGTTGTTTACTGTCTTGTTGATTTTGGCCATTCTTCTTCTTCTTTTTTTTTTTTTTTATAAGATTTTATTTATTTATTTGACAGAGAGAGAGGTCACAAGTAAGCAGAGAGGTAGGCAGAGAGAGGGGGAAGCAGGCTCCCCACCAAGCAGAGAGCCTGATGTGGGCCTCAATCCCAGGACCCTGAGATCATGACCTGAGCTGAAGGCAGAGGCTTAACCCACTGAGCCACCCAGGCACCCGATTTTGGCCATTCTAACTGGTGTAAGGTAGTATCTCAATGTGGTTTTGATTTGAATTTTCCTGATGGCTAGTGATGATGAACGTTTTTTCATGTGTCTGTCAGCCATTTGGAGGAGGAATCAAAACATCTAGCAGAGCAATTCCTTTTAGTGGTGAGATTCCTGGCATCATGGAGCAGGTTGGGAAAGGACTTAGGTTTCACAGTGTGGGTAGCTACAGATCCTCCATGTCACATGTGATCTCTGCATCAATTTCACTTTTTTTAAGAGTAGGAAATCATGAGGATGTGAACATAGAACATGGATACCTCATTTTCATTTTCTGAGAGAAAGGAATGCTGGGTATTGTGGTAACACAGTTTCTGTGTGATGACATTTAGGAGTAACTGATGTGGTTTAATTTAATTCTATTTAATAATAGGTTTTTTGCTGAGATAAGAGTATTTCTAGCATTAAAAAATTTTTTAAAGTTAATATATATTTATTTTTTAAGATTTTATTTATTTGTCAGAGAGAGGGAGAGAGCACAAGCAGGGGGAGTGGCACGCAGAGGGAGAAGCAGGCTCTCTGCTGAACAAGGAGTCCAACACAGGACTCGATCCCAGGACGCTGGGATCATGACCTGAGCCAAGGGCAGCTGCTTAACTGACCGAGCCATCCCGGGATCCCTATTTCTAGCATGTTCTTTCTGAAGAGGGCTGTTGGTTTAGCTGTTGTGACTATAAAGGTGCATAATAACCTCAGCCTTCTAGAGTAATGTTGGCAATATGAATTTACTGTACACATGCATGCTTCTATGATTTATGTTGTGTATTTTTTAAAATAAATGTGCACAGCAGGTGCACATGTATTTTTAATTTTTAATTTTTTTATTTTTTGGGAGAAAGCAAAGTAAAATATCTTTATTGCCTAGGGACAACCTAAAGTTTATTGATAGAACACAGAAAGCAACTAGTTATGAAGGGACAAGATTGGTAAGAACTGTTCATTTAAATATTCCATAAGGGGGGCACCTCGGTGGCTCAGTGGGTTAAAGCCTTTGTCTTCGGCTCAGGTCATGATCCCAGGGTGCTGGGATCGAGCCCCACATTGAGCTTTCTGCTCAACAGGGAGCCTGCTTCCCCCTCTTTCTCTGCTTGCCTCTCTGCCTACTTGCGATCGCTGTCTGTCAAATAAATAAATAAAAACTTAAAAAAAAGATTCCATAAGAAGAGTGGGAAGATGAGCTACAGAGTGGGTGAAGGTATTTGTAATACATACATCCAATACAGAACTCCTACCTACAATGTAGAAACAACTTCTACAAATCAATAAGAAAAAAAATGGACAGCCCAACAGAAAAATGGGCAAGTCACTTCCTAAAAGAGGATATCCAAATTCTTCTTTTTATTATGTTAGTCACCATACCATACATCATTAGTTTTTGATGTAGTATTCCATGATTCATTGTTTGCATATAATACCCAGTGCTATATGCAATATGTGCCCTCCTTAATATCCATCACTGGGCTAACCCATCCCCCGACTCCTCTCCCTTCAGAAACCCTCAGATTGTTTCCCAGAGTCTGTAGTCTCTCATGGTTCATCTCCCCCTCCAATTTCTCCCACTTCATTTTCCCCTTCCTTCTCCTAATGTCCTCCATGCTATTCCTTATGTTCAAAATAAGTGAAACCATATGATAATTGTCTTTCTGTGCTTGATTTACTTCACTTAGCATAATCTCCTCCAGTTCCATCCATGTCATAGCAAATGGTGGGTAGTCATCCTTTCTGATGGCTGACTAATATTCCTTAGTATATATGGACCACATCTTCTTTATCCATTTATCTGTTAAAGGGCATCTCAGCTCCTTCTACAGTTTGGCTATTGTGGACATTGCTGCTATGAACATTGGGGTATATGTGCCCCTTCTTTTCACCATATCTGTATCTTTGGGGTAAATACCCAGTAGTGCAATTGCTGGGTAAAAGGGTAGTTCTATTTTTAACTTTTTGAGGAAACTCCACACTGTTTTCCAAAATGGCTACACCAACTTACATTCCCACCAACAGTGTTAAGAGGATTCCCCTTTCTCCACATCCTCTCCAACATTTGTAGTTTCCTGCCTTGTTAATTTTTGCTGTTCTAACTGGTGTAAGGTGGTATCTCAATGTGGTTTTGATTTGTATTTCCCTAATGGCTAATGATGTTGAACATTTTTTCATGTGTCTGTTGGCCATTTGTATGTCTTCTTTGGAGAAGGGTCTGTTCATGTCTTCTGCGCATTTTTTGACTTGATTATTTGTTTTTTGGATGTTGAGTTTGAGAACTTCTTTATAGATTTTGGATACCAGCCCTTTGACTGCAGTGTCATTTGCAAATATCTTCTCCCATTCCATGTGTTGCCTCTTTGTTTGATTGACTGTTTACTTTCCAGCAGGTTATTTTAACCTCTCAGCACAGGTGAGTAGTGATACTGTGAGCTGGTATTGATATGAGAGGCATCCAGGCAGGACTCTGGGGTGGAGTGGGAGAATATTCCTCCCTCAGAGCAGACCTCTGGGAGATACTCCTTGATCCTGATCCTACAGTAGGTTGTCAAGGGACTGCAAGTCAGGGAACAGGATCACCGTATAAGCCACACTGTGTGAAGTCTGTCTGCAGTGGGGCTGTCCCTGGATATGGTCACTATCATGCAATCAATGCAGTAGACTTAGAGGACACGGGTGTAGCCACGTGTCAGTAGCTGTAGACAGTGCCCTCTGCACGCCATGCAATGTAATGGCAATAAAAATGAATGGCACTATTGTTAGCCCCTTCCTTTTTACCAGCAGCAGCATGATGCTGTCAAGAAGAGGGAAACTGGAAAGAATCAGAAAAATTCACCCAGCCCACCCTCTGCCTTTTTATGGAGCCATGTGATATGGACCCAGATATTTCCCTGGGTCCAGTGTTGCTGAGACATTCACTCACTTGCTTGGCTTCACTTGGGGATTCATGGAGCCCATCAAATATTTAAAACAGGAATTGATTGCTTTGGTGGGGATGGCAAGGAAGGAATGGAGGTGGGACTAGCCAAGGCCACCCCCCGTTCTGGCAGCTGATACTCATGTGTCCTACTGTTCTGGAGTAAAGATCCAGACACTCAGCTGGGTCTTGGTAAGGCCCTCTGCTGGTCCCTTAATACATGTCTATTCATGAAATTTGTGGATTTATTTGACTATTTTATAACATAAGATTTTCTGGATTTGTACAGGCTGTTTGGAAACTGTACTATCTTAAAGGCTACACTCCAGAGATGAGGAGACAAGGTCTTCATTCCATTCTATAGAACATTTTGTCATTACTCATTTTATATTGCGTAACATGTATTCTGCTGTCAATTGGAGGTATCTAGACTTTGGAAGGCTCCCTATCTGTTAGCTGAAAGACTTGTGGGGCATGTAACAATGTCTACCTAGCATCCTTTCCCACCATACTGTCCTCATTTGCCACTATGGGGTTAGCCTTGTAGGCTTAGCAAGTTATGATTAAAATGGTTACTGGAGCCTCTTTCCTCATCCTTTTTACTCTACTCTGCCATCTGTCAGCAACGCCTAAGTGGAAGGCTTTCAAGGATGCAGTTGTGGGTTTCCACAAAGGCAAATGAAAGATGATTACAGGCAGGCCTGCCTTAGGGAACACCATCCATAATGGGTTTCTGAGACAGCTGATGCACAGAGTTGGTAAACTAACTGCTTTGTGAATGACCATCTTGAAAAAAAAAAGAGTGTATTTTTGTAGTGTGCTGAGCAGGTGAGTATCTCAGGTTGGAGGATCAGATGACACGAGGGGAAGAATGGTATGGAAATGGATTGTTTCCTTACTGATTCTTTTATATGGTATCATTTAGGGCACATATGGGTCAGTCCTCCTTCTCTGCAGCTCAAGAGAACCAGAGTGCCTGACAACAGAATAGGACCGTGCTGAAAGCCTCTCACTTTTCAGTGAGGCCAGTAGAGCCTTGGACACAGTTTTCACTGTATATCAATAAGAATACTGTCTTGCTCAAACCCTCCTTATGAAGATAGATATAAGAAGGACCATTTCCCACAAAAAACACAAAAGTCTCTGAGCAAACTGTATGAACATTATCATTCTAAGTTCTCAGTAACCCTCAGCTCTTAAGTGGATGCAATTAAATAAAATCTCCTCATCAGAAGAGAGAAACAGTCTTTCCTCTTTCCATCTAGAATGAGAATCTCCCAAATCATGGAAGAGTCATTTGCTGAATAAGCATGAGTGAATTTCCTGGAAGAAATCAGCATGAACCTTTCAGGAGTTCTCAAGTATGAAAACACTTATCTAGTCTTCACTTTAGGGTTGGAACTGTGAAGATTTCAGCTGCTCTTAGCTAATTATCCTTACTTTTTGTGAGGCCTAGTGGAGGTGGAAAAGCAGATGATGAGTGGATATAATTATTTCCATTGGAATTGCTGTTATCATTTCTTGCCTGTATGTTACCTCTTCTCTTACCTGTTCATTTTTTGTCAGGGACTGACCAGCCCCAGCACTTATTACTTCATCCCTGTGACCTGGCCTTCTCTTTCACTTTATAGATATGGGACCTCCACACATGGACTTTTTAAGAAGCTGGGAATTCCTGGGCCAAAACCTCTGCCTTTTGTGGGAACTGCTCTGGCCTACCGTAAGGTGAGTGTTGTTTGAGCTTCCTTTTCTGCTTCTTATGGTCGCAAATCCCAGCTTAGTTTCATTGTAAAAATGCTCCTCCTCAGGAGAAGTGCTTAGGTTTCAGACTTCCCAGAAGTGGTGTCATAGGCTCCACCCAACACTTGGCCAGGTCTACCCGAGGGCTCTATTCTCTGCTGTTTGGAGCCTCAGAGTTTGCCCCAGTGGGCAGCCCAGATCTGCTGCTTCAACTCAGGGCTTACTGTTCTAGCTTGTGAGCATTGAGAAGAAGCTTTTATTTCCTGCAGGTGCAGATTCCTGGGAAGGTACCACCATACTTGGTATGAGGAGAAAAGTATCAAGGGGGTCCATGCTAGTGGTCCATTAAGCTGTGTATATTAGAGTCAGACTTTTCTGTTCATCATACAAGCTCTGCACAACATTTTGTTTTGCTGAATAGCTCTGGAGCTTCGATTTATTGGGCAGCACAAATTCACCTTTAGGGATGTGCACACACTTGAACCGTCTCAAGAATTGCCAGCCCCCCAGAGTTATTTCCAAGCTCTAACTCACCCATCGCTAATGGTGACATCTCTGGGGACTTGAGAGGTTGACCCAGAGCTCTCTGCTTTATTTCTCTACCTTCATTGTGAGCCCCTTCTGGGTGAGTTGAGCAGAGAGTGAGGATGGTGCTTGTCTACTGACTTCAGATTTTAACATTTGATTGAGTTGTGTGTATGCATATGTTGTTTTCACACAAATATAGACCATTCATACAAAATCACTAGAAAAGAGATGCTCTGAAAAAATTACTAAGAAATTACTGTACTGAATGGGATATACTAACAGATACACAGACTGATGTTGGTGGAGCCATTGTGACTCATCTAGCTTCTATGCCTTGTCCAAGGCCTGGCCCCTTAACAGAAGGTTAGGAGCTCACATCTTAGGGCGAGCTGGCAGTCTCATGTGCAGGCTGCTCTCTACTGTGGAGTTCCTTTCGCCCAGACCTGAGGCTTGTTTCTCAGATCCCATTTCTCCCCACTGAGACCCTCAGTGCCCAATTATCATCTAATAACTTCCCGGACTTTTTCTCTCCAAAAAAGCAGTAGTTCCTTTCCACTTTTCTCAGATCAACTTCTTAGTACCAGCACCCCAAGATCAACTCCTTAGTATTAGCACCCCAAGATCCACATTTCTGGGACCCTGTTTTGCATGATTAGAACATCAAAATCACAGCTGAAGCTTAGGGACAGGAAGTTTTTTTTTTTTTTTTTTTTTTAAAGATTTATTTATTTGACAGAGAGATCACAAGTAGGCAGAGAGGCAGGCAAAGAGAGAGGAAGGGAAGCAGGCTCCCTACTGAGCAGAGAGCCCGATGCGGGGCTTGATCCCAGGACCCTGAGATCACGACCTGAGCCGAAGGCAGCGGCTTAACCCACTGAGCCACCCAGGCGCCCCTGTTGTTTTTTCTTAACTGAACTGAAAACTCCTATCAAGTGTTCTAATTTGTTCTCCCCCTTGTGGAGTGGTGACCTGGTCCCCCCTTTCTGTGTGAAGCTGGATGAGTGAAAGGTGAGGCTGCCTTATCATTCATTCACTCATCTCTCACTTTCTCACTCAACAAACATGTTTAGAGTTATGTAAATTTGCTAGATGAAAAGAGGTCACTGGTGTCTTAATTTCCTAAATTCATTGGAATTTTAGTTGTGCTCTTCAGATCAATGAACAGGATGCTGACTGGGGGTTCAGAGTGTGCAGGCCATGCTGACGTTCCCTCAGCTCTTGTTTTCCCACATGGCCCTGAGGTAATAATTCAGAGGGTTCTGAGATTTAGAGACAACACATGTACAAGCCAAACATGCGAGAAATACAGAGGTTCTGTAGCCTTGACAGAGAGGGTGAGTTGTTCAGTGTCTGCAACACTTGAAGGGGATTCAAGAGGGACTCGAATTTCTCCATTTCAAGATCTTCTTGTTTTCTCTCCTTTCCACTAAGACACCTGTGAATAAGAGCTTCCCTCTCACTGCCAGTCAGAGGTAGTAAGCTGCATTTCATGTGGTCTGGGTCATTTTTGTCCCTATTAGAGGTAGGACTCAGTACATTTAGTTTAGTAATGTGTTTCATTTCTTCTTGCAGGGTGTTTCTGTTTTTGACATGGAATGTTTTAGAAAGTATGGAAGAACATGGGGGTGAGTATTCTGGAAACTTCCATTGGATAGGCTCATTATGATGAAGCACCCATGGTGTTAACAGTCTCAGTCAAGAGCCCTTTGAGATGAAGCCTGCTGTAGTAAAGCTTCTAGAACCTCTGATTCCTGGGATCTCATGTGTCACCAGGTGTGCAGGTCTAAGTATGAATTGGGTCTGGAGAGGTATACATGGTGCTGGGCTGCTCACAGCCAGTGTTGTACCCCTCCGTACCTCCTTATCTTCTCTGGTCACATCCTCAGAAGCCATAGGACTCTGCTGAGTTGCTTTGGCCCATAAGCAATATGGTGGCATAGAAAGAACCCAGATCTCTGGATAACCAGTGGTTCAACTCCACTGCCCTTTCCCACATTCAGTCCTGGTCAGCTCTGGATGGAGCCAGTCTTATATCGTGGGCTTCAGTTCTGCCCTTAGTACATAGTTCTCATGGTTGGCTGTGGATAAGAACCAGCTGGGAGAACTTGTTAAAAATGCAGATTCTTTAGCCCCATCCCCCAGGAACACTGGATCTGAGGATGTGGGGTGGGTCCCAGGAATCTCAATTGAACTAACTAGTAGTGGAAGCAATATTAAGGCCATGTGAGAGTATGAATATATATGGTAACACAAAAGCACTGTCCTTTGTCCACCCTGGTGTTTTTGAACAAATAGGATGGGACAAGGGGAATCATCCAAGAAATATGATCAGGCTGCTGGAAGAGCAGACCTGAGTGCCACCTCATTAACTTCTATCACTGCTTCAACACTAAGTGTGCATGACTCCCACTGAAAGCTTTTGCATTTTAGAATACTTTCTGGAGATGGGTAGCATTTCATGTCATCCACTTTTAGATGTGATTGCAGAATCATCTGATATTTCTCTGTGATGTCAAAAGAAAATAGAGGACTTTTGGGAAATCTTTCATTTTGTTCTAGTAAATGCAAATGATTTATTATGGAAAACAAGATGCCAAATGGTGATGTAATTAAGCTTAAAGTAAACCTCATGCTGGTGACAGATTCTCATTAACAGGCCATACTGATAGTCATGAGGTCAGGCTGATAAGGATGGATCACACATGGAGTCAGCTTTGTATGAGATATGCGCAAAAGTGGGCATGCTCTGCTGCTTAGGAATGTCACCTATACGAAGCCCGAGAAACTCAACTTGGGACCCACATATAAGAATAAATATATATAATAGAAAATATGTCTAAATGAATTATACATGTTTCTCTGTTTGTCTTTATTCTCTCTCTCTCTCTCTCTCTTTTTGTTTCAAAGTTTTCTGACCTAATGCTATCAAGGACCTCTATAATATTTAAAATAATATTTCTTTTAGAGTATAACTAGGAAATTTATTTTAGTAAATAGGGCAAAGAAATAATTGATAATTTTGCCATCACTTTTTAAGCATTCCAAGTCTTTTTATTTGCATATTTCTGATCATCGTGTCTATCATTTTCATCTGATATTCTCTCCTATGCATTTCATGTGTTTGATATATCTTCAAAATTATAATTTGTAGTGACTGGGTGGGCAGACTCTCCATTATTGTTTTGTTCTTAGATAAGTTACTTGCCTTCAGTTATTTACCAACCTAACTTCCTTTTTTTTTGTAATTTTATTTTATGATTTTTTTCAGTATTCCAAGATTCATTGTTTATGCACCACACCCAGTACTCCATGCAATATGTGCCCTCCTTACTACCCACCACCAGGCTCACCCAACCCCCCACCTTCCTCCCTTCCAAAACCCTGTTTGTTTCTCAGAGTCCACAGTCTCTTATGCTTCGTCTCCCCCTCCAATTTCCCCCAACTATACTTCTCCTCTCCATCTCCCAGTGTCCTCCATGTTATTCCTTATGCTCCACAATTAAGTGAAACTATATGATAATTGACTTTCTCTCCTTGATTTATTTCACTGAACATAATCTCTTCTAGTCCCGTCCATGCTGATACAAAAGTTGGATATTCATCCTTTCTGATGGAGGTGTAATACTCTATTGTATATATGGACCATATCTTCTTTATCCATTAGTCTGTTGAAGGGCATCTTGGCTCTTTTCAATTTGGTGACTGTGGCCATTGCTGCTATGAACTTGGGGTACAGATGGCCCTTCTTTTCCCTACACCTGTATCTTTGGGGTAAATACCCAGTAGTACAATTGCAGGGTCATAAGGTAGCTCAATTTTTAATTTCTTAAGGAATCTCCACACTGTTTTCCAAAGTGGCTGCACCAACTTGCATTCCCACCAACAGTGTAAGAGAGGGTTCCCCTTTCTCCACATCCTCACCAACTATACTTGTTTACTGTCTTGTTGATTTTGGCCGTTCTAACTGGTATAAGGTGGTATTTCAGTGTGGTTTTGATTGGAATCTCCCTGATGGCTAATGATGATGGACATTTTTTCACGTGTCTGGTAGTCATTTGTATGTCTTTGGAGAAGTGTCTGTTAATGTCTTCTGCTGATTTTTTTGATGTGATTATCTGTTTTTTGTGTGTTGAGTTTGAGGAGTTCTTTATAGATTTTGGATAACAGCCCTTTGTCTATAGTGTCATTTGTGAATATCGTCTCCCATTCCATGGGTTGCCTCTTTGTTTTCTTGACTGTTTCCTTTGCTGTGCAGAAGCTTTTGATCTTGATGAAGTCCCAAAAGTTCATTTTCGCTTTTGTTTCCTTTGCCTTTGGACACGTGTCTTGAAAGAAGTTGCTGTGGCCAATGTTGAAGAGGTTACTGCCTATGTTCTCCTCTAGGATTCTGATGGATTCCTGTCTCAGGTTGAGGTCTTTTATCCATTTTGAGTTTATCTTTGTGTATGATGTGAGAGAATGGTCAACTTTCATTCTTCTATACATAGCTGTCCATTTTTTTCCAGCACCATTTATTGAAGAGACTCTTTTTTCCACTGGATATTTTTTTCCTGCTTTGTCAAAGATTATTTGACCATAGAGTTGTGGGTCCATATCTGGGCTCTCTGCTCTTTTCCACTTGTGTATGTGTCTGTTTTTGTGCCAGCACCATGCTGTCTTGGTGATCATAGCTTTGTAGTAAAGCTTGAAATCAGGTAACGTGATGCCCCCAGTTTTGTTTTTCTTTTTCAACATTTCCTTAGCAATTTGAGGTCTCTTCTGGTTCCATACAAATTTTAAGATTGTTTGTCCCAGTTTTTTGAAAAATGCTGGAATTTTGATCAGGATGGCATTGAAAGTATAGATTGCTCAAGACAGTATAGACATTTTAACAATGTTTATTCTTCGGATCCACCAGCATGAAATGCTTTTCCATCTTTTTGTGTCTTCTTCAATTTCTTTCATGAATGTTCTGTAGCTCCTCAAGTATAGATCCTTTACCTCTTTGGTTAAGTTTATTCCTGTGTTATCTTATGGTTCTTGGTGCTGTAGTAAATGGAATCAATTCTCTAATTTCCCTTTCTATATTTTCATTGTCAGTGTATAAGAAGGCAACTGGTTTCTGCACACTGATTTTGTATCCTGCCATATTACTGAATTGCTGTATGAGTTCTAGTAGTTTGGGGGTGGAGTCTTTTGGGTTTTCCATATAAAATATCATGTCATCGGCAAGGAGAGAGAGTTTGACTTCTTCTTTGCCAATTCGAATATCTTTTATTTATTTATTTTTGTTGTTGTCTGTTTGCTGTTGCTAGGACTTCTAGTACTATGCTAACCTAACTTCCTTTTTGATAATATACATAAATTGTTTGCAATGTTTGAAATACTTCTAAAATATTTGATGGATTTTAAACATATAAAAATTATGGAAAATGGACTAGGAAATACTCATGTACACATCTAAACTTAATAACTATTGTAATGGTATTTCTAACCATGATCTCAGAGAATGGATTAGGTACCATCGGGATAAAAGTTTGGACTTCCAGGCATGGCTGCAGCTGTAAAAACTGTCATGTTAAGTGTGATCAGGTCTATTTTCCCCCACACAGGTTTTATGATGGGCGACAGCCTGTGTTGGCTATCACGGATCCGGATATGATCAAAACAGTACTAGTGAAAGAATGTTACTCTGTCTTCACAAACCGGCGGGTAAGCATGGATTTATTTTAAATTTACATATTTATTTATTTATAAAACATTTTTTTAAATAAGAAGAGATTCACAGAAAGTTGTAACAGGAGGTCCCATGTCATGTAACCTTCAAGCTGTTTCCTCTAAGGTAATATCTTGCTTAATTATAGTACAGTGTCCAAGCAGAGTTTGACATTGGTTCTAGTCACAGAACTTAGATTTCAACCTTTTAAAAGAAGATTTTTATTTATTTATTTGACAGAGAGACAGTGAGAGATAGAACACAAACAGGGAGAGTGGGAGAGGGAGAAGCAGTCTTCCCACCAAGCAGGGAGCCCAATGCAGAACTTGATCCCAGGACCCTGGGACCATGACCTGAGCTAAAGGCAGACACTTAATGACTGAGCCACTCAGGCGCCCCCAGATTTCAACAGTTTTATGTGCACTTGTGTGTGTGGGTATGGGTGTGTTGTTCTCTGAACGCTTATCTTACATGTAGATTATGTAGATTTGTGTATCTAGGAACCCAATGATGTTATGGAGCTGTTCCATTACCAAAAATTCTCCTTAGTATTCTTTTACAGGCATGGTGTGTAGCTTCTCTCTTCCTTGTCTCAGGATCTTCAGCAGAGCAAACATTTTTTTTTATTTTGATAAGGCCAGGTTATCCTTTTATCCTTTTATGGATTGTGACTTTGGCATCAAGTTTGAAAAATCTTTACCTACCCTAATTCCCAAGGACTTTCTCCAAGTAGTTATTTTTTTGTTTTACATTTAAGTAGTTATAATGTACATCTTACATAGTTATAACTTTGACATTTAAGTCTGTGATCCATTTTGTGTTAATTTTAAGTGTTAATTGTGAGGTCTGTTGTTTAAGTGAAAGATCTTCATGTTTGGCCTATGGATGTCTAATTGCTCCAGCACCATTTGTGAAAATACTGTACTTCCTCCATTGAATTGCTTTTGTACCAGTATCAAAATTGAGTTGGGCGTGTGTGTGTGTGTGTGTGTGTGTGTGTGTCTATTTCTCATTCTGTTCTGTTCATTGATCTCTGTATCTCTCTCTCCATCAATGCCAGGCACTCTTGATTACTGTGGCCATACAGTAAGTCAACATCAAGAACAATGATTCCTCCCATTTTATTTTTTTGTTGAAATTGTTTTAGGTATTTTAACTCCTTTGCCTTTCCATACAAATTTAGAATTAACTTATCTATGTTTACATAATATTTGCGAGGATTTTTAAAGACATGATTTAAACCTATCGATCAGTATGCAGAAAATCTCTATCTTTACTAAGTCACATCTTTCAGTGTATGAATGCAATACGTGTTTATTTAGGTTTTCTTTGATTCTTTTCACCCACATTTAGTTCTCAGCACTGGAAAACCATATATGTTTTGTTAAATATACATCTAAAGTATTTCACCTTCTTTGTGTGATTATAATTGTTATGGTGTTTTTAATGTGTTTTGACATATTCTTATATAGAAATGTGGTTGATTTTTGGTGTTGATCTTATTTCCTGTAACCTAGCTTAGCTCATTTATTAGATGCAGAAGTGTTCTTTTTATGTTCCTCAAGATTTTCTACATTGACAATTACGAAACCTGAAATAGGGACGCTCCTATTTTTATCTTTCCAATCTTATGACTTTCTTTGTTTTATATTATTGCACTAGCTAGGATTTCTAGTAAGATGTTAAATAAGAGTGGTGAGAGTACACATTTTGTCTTGTTCCTGATGTTAGGGGCAAGCATTCAGTCTTTCACCATTTAAATATTTATACATACATTTTTTATAATGAAAACTGTATATATTTAAGTGTGATGTTTTGATTTATGTATACATTGTGAAGTGATTATGACAAATGAATTAACATATCTATCCTCACCCAGAGTTTCTTTGTATATGTGTGTGTGTTTGTGTTAAGAACAATGAATGTGTGGAGCACTGGATGTGGTGCAAAAAACAATGAATACTGTTATGCTGAAAAGAAATTAAAAAAAAAAAGAACAATGAATTATAGAACACTACATCAAAAACTAATGAAGAAAGCAAATTTCAAATGTATAGTATAGTATTAATAATTATAATCACCATATAGTATATTCAGTCTCCAGAACTTTTTCATCTCATTAACAAAAGTTTGTACCATTTGATTTCTATCTTTCTTTTGCTCCTGATAACTATTTGTTACTGTGCTTGACTTTATTTTTCTAGATTCCACTTATAATTGAGATCTTGCAAGTCCTGTCCTTCTGTATCTGGTTTAGTGCCCTTAGCGTGTTGTCCCTGTTGTCCAGGTTCATCCATGCTTGGAAATGGCAGGATTTCCTTCCTTTTTAAGGCCAAGTAATATTTTATTGTCTTTATCCATTCATCATTCCCTTTACATTTAAAGTAATTATTGATAAGGATTTACTATTGTCATTTGTTAGTCCAGGTGTTTCATAGATCAATTATTCCTAGTACATATCTTTCTTTTTTACTTTCACATTTTTTTTTACAGTGGTATGCTTTGATTTTTTTCCCTCTTTATCTTTTCTTTATCTACTCTATGTTTTTGTTTTGCAGTTACCAGGAGGTTTACATAAAATATCTTCTAAATATAGTAGTCTGTTTTAAGTGGGTAAGAAATTAACATGTTTATTTCCAAACTCAATGCTTTTATTCCTCCCCCACCAATTTTATGTTTTTGATGTCACAATTTACATATCTTATATCGTGTATTTAACAAATTCTTTTAACTGTAGTTTTAAAAATTATTTGTGTTTTAAACTTTCACTAGAGTTATAAGTAATTTGTATATTGCCGGTACAATACCACTGTATTCTGAATTTATGCATTTATATTTACCAGAGAGATTTATACTTTCATGTGATTTCATGTTACTACTAACTGCCCTTTTGTTTTTCAGCTCGAAGGACTCCCTTTAGTATTTCTTGTAAGGCAGGCTTAGTGGTAATGAATTCTGTCCACTTTTGTTTGTCTGGAAATGTCTTTATCGCTCTCACATTTCTGAAAGTCTTGTTTCTCTGGGTAAGGTATTCTTAGTTGGGATTTTTTTCAGCATTTCAAATAAATCATCCACTGTCTTCTGCCTTTCATGATTTCCACTGGGGATTCCACTGATAGCCCCATGGTGTTCCCTTGTATGTGATGAATTTCTTTTCTCTTGCTGCTTTCAAGACTTTTGCTTTGGGTTTAATTTTTGACAGTTTTATTATAATGTCTCTTGGAGAAGTCCTTTTCAGATTCAGTCTTATTGGGGACTTTAAGCCTCATGACCCAAGATTTCCATACATTTCTCTAGATTTGAGAAATTTTCAGCCATTGTTTATTTTAGTAAGATTTCCCTACTGGGGGAAGTCCCTACTGGGACTCCTATAATATGAATGTTGTTTCACTTGATGGTGTCCTGTAAGTCCTGTAGGCTTTTCCCCCAATTCTTTTCATTTTTCTTCCCCACTCTGACTGGATAATTTAAAATAATCCAGGAGGGCATGGTTGGTTCATGCATTTGGGTGCCACACCTTGAGAAACTGCATGATCCTTGGCAGCAAGAGCAGAGGAGGGTTCTTTGTGGCTGTGGTGGCAGTTAGGGTCTTCAGCAGCACCCCAGATCCAGTGCCAGGAGACTGGGGAAGGAGAATGGTGGCCAGAGTTGGTGCTATGCACACACTCATCTGGAGGGCTGAAAGCAGGCTCATGCCCCAAACAGAGCTAGTGCCAGTGGTGGGGGCTGTACCAACTGTGTGCACACAGGTAGCTTTGAGTTCCTGAGCTGTCTGTGTGCACTCACGTGGCTTCAGGGCTAGCCAGTACTGCATGCATAGCAGTGGGGCTCATAACTAGAGGTCAGGCTGGCAGTGTGTAGGTGTGCATCTCCAGGGTTTAGCTGTGATCTTAAGTGTCAGTGCAGTCCAGTGACAGGAGTCAGGCCTGGCCTCAGGCCCAGAAACTGCTGGGGCTTGGGCTGGTGTCCATATGCCCACTCATAAAGGCGAAGACTGGCTGGTGGTGTAGATTTGGGGCTCACAGTGTTGGGGGTGGCACTGGCTGAGGCAACTTGTGTGAGTGCAGATGGGACAGAGCAGGACTCTGGCACCTTGAGTCTGCAAGTGTGAAAACCTCTGGGACTATCAGCAGCAAAATCTTAGAGAGTACACAGTGCTGGGCCAACTGTTCATCTCAGCAGCAAAGCGTTCTAGAGACTTCTGCAGAGCAGGACACAGAGAAGCATGGTCACTCCTTACACTTAACCGATACTGGTAGTCCTGCCCTTCTTTGTTCTTAGCTGTGTCTAGCTGTGTCAGCCATGCCAGTCTCTGGGAGGTTTGAAACCAAAACAGGTCATTTGTGCCATGCCCTGAAGGGGATGGGGCTAATGGTTGCTCACCCTTCTGCTTTTCCCCAGGAAGGGGAACTATCTCAGGTCAGAGGGGGTCCTCTTCGTGCTGAGCAGCACTGGCCTGGGTCATGGGGTGATGCAGGCAAAATAAAGCTCTTCTCCCTACTTTTCTTGTACAGTTATTCTCAGGAGTTTTGCTCCACTGTGTTGTTGAAGCTTCTTAAATAGACTCCTAAGCCCTTGAGCCTATTTTTGTTTCTGGATAGCTGTCTGATTGTTGTTATTTGTGGGATGACAGAGGCTGAAGTGTCCTGTTTCATCATCTTAATGATATAACATAAGTTTTTCCTCACTGAGGTGATGTTAGCTGTAAGGTTTTTAGATGCTTGTTATTAAGTTGAGGAACTTTCTGTTTCTTCTTAGTTTGTGAGTTTTTATCGTGAAATGGTGTTAGAAGTATCCATTTTATTTTTATTAAAACATTTAAAATTTAAATTCAATTAATTAACATATACTGTATTATTAGTTTCAGAGGTAGAATTCAGTGATTCATCAGTTGCATACAATACCCAGTGCTCATTACTTCATTACTTAATGCCCATCATCTAGCTACCCCATCCCCCCATCCCCCTCCCCACCAGCAACTTCCAGTCTGTTCCCTATAGTTAAAGAGTGTCTTATGGTTTGCCTCCATCTCTGTTTTTATCTTATTGTATTTTTCCTTCCCTTCTATGTTCATCTGTTTTGTTTCTTAAATTCCACGTATGAGTGAAATCACATAATTGGCTTTCTCTGATTAACTTATTTCCCTTAGCATAATGCCCTCCAGTTCCTTCTATGTTGTTGCAAATGGCACAATATTATTCCTTTTGATGGCTAGATAATATTCCATGTATACGATATAGATATATACAGACACACACACACCATGTCTTTGTTATCCATTCCACTGTCAGTGGACATCTGGGCTCTTTCTGTATTTAGGCAATTGTGCACATTGCTGCTATAATCATTGGGGTGCATGTGTTTGTATCCTTCTGATAAATACCTAGTAGTCCAATTGCAGGGTCATAGGATAGCTCTATTTTTAAGTTTTTGAGGAACCTCCATACTGTTTTCCAGAGTGGTGCACCAGTCTGCATTTCTACCAATAGTGTAAGAGTGTTCCCTTTCTCTGTATCCTTGCCAACACTTGTTGTTCCCTGAGTTGTTAACTTTAGCCATGGAGAGATCTATTTTAAAACAAAATATAGTTTTAGAAAATAGAAGAAATATTCAAACTGATTGGTTTGCTAGATCAATCCCAAGATGAGAAATAGAGTCATTTCTCTCTTTTTCCTTATGTTCGTTTGGGGAAAATAGAGGGGGAAGAGATTTCCATGTTACTGTACCATTTCTTCACAAAAGCAAACAGATTCCTAATCTTTTTAGTGTTAACTACAATGCATTTTTTTAAAATCACCATATCAAGACATCCAGTTTTTGAGTTTCATATGCTGTGGATATATGCAAAAGGTAGAACTGGTCTGAGGCAACATACAGTTTGCCAGTCTATTTGGCTGCCTTCCACCAATCCAATCTACTCTGCACAGTTTAAGAGAATGTACTAGGTGGTAATCCTGTGTATTCCCCTGGAGGAGTAGTTTCCCTGACAAATTCTCTCATATGACATATACGCTGAAATGAAGATGGAATGTAAAGGCTGGAAAGCACAGCAGGTGGCTGGATGTGTCCTCAGCCTTGCAAAAAGCTAGGCTTTTGGGATAAGTGTCTGTTGATCACCTACCATAGGGCCTACAAATAAGTTGATGATTACGAAATACTTGTTGAATAATTTCTGCCTGTTTAACACATTTTCCACAACCTTTGAGACCTCCAAAACTTATGTAGGGCAAATTGTGTTTTTTTTTGACTCTAGGCTTTTGGTCCAGTGGGATTTATGAAAAGTGCACTCTCTTTGTCTGAGGATGAAGAATGGAAGAGGATGCGAACATTGTTGTCTCCTACTTTCACTAGTGGAAAGCTCAAGGAGGTAAGAAAAGAAGACGTTCAATTAGAACGTTAAGGAATACATCTGGGAGCAGGTAGGAAATACAGTCATAGTCCATCTCTAAGGGGAAGTCTGCGGAATTTGGGCTTCATAACAATGGTCTTTTTATGTCCTATAAGAGACATGATAAGATTTGTTATTACAAATCACTGCTCCATGCTTGTGAGAGCCACATCATTCTAGGACTTGATTCTCAGATTTAACTTCAGGTGGTGTTGCATTTTGTGTGCAGATGTTTTCTATCATTGGCCAATATGGAGATGTGTTGGTGAAGAATGTGAGGAAGGAGGCTGAGAAAGGCAAGCCTATCAACTTGAAAGAGTAAGTAGGAGTGCAGCTGCTGGGATTCCAGCTCTGTCATGACATTTTCCAGCTGCTGCCACAGAGCCAACTGCCACTGTTGAGTCACTCCAGTGAAACAGCTGAAGTATGCGTGTGGTGTTGCAACTCCAGTGGGCCAGCCAAGAAAAGGTAGCTCACCTAAAAAGGCAGGGCAGTCAGAAGATAAAGGGTCTCCTTTACTGTATATGAGGCAGCATTTATCTGCTTCACCTTGGATATTCTGGAAGACAACAATACATGATTGGAAAAAAAATGTACCAAATCTTTGAGTATAGAGGGTATGTATGGTGGGAGGGGAAGGTACTTGGTACATATTGATGGGCACTGGGTGGAGCAAGAACATTAATATGTGGAACTTGGAACAACTTAAGACCCTTCTTGATTTTGTTGAGGATATTAGCAAAACACTAAATATTAATTCTCCTGACCAGCTGTCCTTCTTTCAATCTCGAAAAAGAGAAGGCCCTGCTCATGTAATGGGAGGGTGACACTATATGTGTGTATGTGTTTATATATATATATGTGTGTGTGTGTGTGTGTGTGTATACACACATGCATACACATATAATATACGTAAAATAAATATATTTATTTATTTTTTCCCAACTTGGGATATTTTAAATTATGTAGGATGAACAGATGTATATTGGGATTGTCCTAGGAAAACTATTGGCATGTGGTCACTTAGCTATGGAATCCCCTAAATCAATTTTGGTGTGACTTAATATATATTTTTAAAGTATAAACATTCTTAGTTCTTACATTTTCTAAAAATGAATGAGTCCTCAGGACAATCTCAGATCGATGAAGATGAGACAGAGTGGGTCTTTCAGGACACTTAGCCAGGGTGTAGAGAAGAAGGGATTGTGGTCCTGACAGTGCAGAACAGGGTGTTGATGTTTTGTAATGTGCTGAAGAGGAATCAGCTCTGAGCACAGATACTGTGGTGAGAGAAGATCCAGATCAGTTTCAGGTTTGTGACTCCATGAGGAAGAATTAATTATCCCACCATTTGTCCTGCTCAGACACAGTGCTTATCCACCTTCTGCTGCCCATAGTCAAAACACGCTACTGTAATTTGTCCAACTTTGGGTCTCTATCCCTCCATGACTGAGCTCCTTGAGCTCAGAGGTGTGTCTAACATGTCACAGTGTCCCCATCACCCCTAGCACAAGGCCAGCTGCATCACTGGCACCTCACAAGCACCTCATGAGTGAGTGTGATGGCATCTAGACTCTTCAGATGATGCGGAAGATGGTTCTGAATGTGTGGTTTTTGTCTTGTCTGGACATTGGAATCAACGTGTACTTTTTGCTGCATGTGTTGGATTAAGATAGTTAAGAGGTGGTGATTTTAATTACACATGTTTTTCTTTCTGTCACAGCATCTTTGGGGCCTACAGCATGGATGTGATTACCAGCACATCGTTTGGAGTGAACATTGATTCCCTCAACAACCCACAGGATCCCTTCGTGGAAAATACTAAGAAGCTCTTAAAATTTGATTTCCTTGATCCATTATTCTTCTCAATAAGTATGTTCAGTACTAGTTTTCTTTTGTCCTTCCTTCCTCTTTTTTCCTTTCTTCCTTCCTCCCTCACTTCTTCTCTTCCTACCTTTCTACACCAATCTTACTGAGATATAACTTCATCTAACATATATGTCCCCCTTTTAAAAATGTACAGTTCAGTTTTCCAGCCTGAGTGTTCATCATCCAAGGAACGGATAATGAAAATGTGGTATGTATATACCATGGAACCTTATTTAGCCATAAAAATGGAAAGACATTCTGTATTTGGACAACATGGATGGATCCCAAGGGCATTACAATAAATGAAATGAATCAGAGAAAGACAAATACTGTATGAGCTCAATTACATGTGGAATTAAAAAAACAGTACAAGAAACCAAGTCCTACAAAAAGGAGATCAGATTTGTGGTTATCAGAGGCAGGGGTTGTGGGGTAGTACTTGAATGAAGGTGACCAAAGTTGCACACTTTCAGTTATAAGATAGATGAGTACTGGACTGTAAACACAACGTGGTGACTATAGTTAGCTCTGCTGTCCAATGTGTTTGTAGATTGCCAAGAGAGTAGACTGTAGAAGTTCTCATCATAATGGCAGAAAATTTTGTTTTTATAACTATATGAGATGATGGATGTTAACTAATCTTATTGTAATCGTTTTATATATGTATGTCAAGTGTATGCAGTACACCTTATCATAAACAGTGCTGTATGTCTGTTATGATTCAAGGAATCTGAAAATTCTGCTTAGTGCCTTCAAAGATATGAACAACTTCTACTGCAGTCAATGGTTGGAATATTGTTGTTAACACAGAAATTCTGTACTTTATTGTTTTACTATCACTACCCACTTCTCTTAGCCCTAAACAACCACTAATCTACTTTCTGTCTTGACAGATTAATCTCTTCTGGACTCTTTATACAGATAGAATCATATAATCTGTGATCTTTCTGGCTGCTTTCCTTCATTAGCATAATGTTTTCAAGGTTCATCCATGTTGCACCATCCATCAGAACTTTCTTTTTATGACAGAACAATATTCCATTGTATGGACATACTGCATTTTGTTTGTCCTTTTATCATTTGATGGACATTTGGGTTGTTTCCAACTCTTGGCTATTGTGAACAGTGGTGCTATTCACATTCATGCACAGGTTTTTGCTTGAATACCTGTTTTCAACTCTTTTGGGTGTGTTTTTGGAGGTGGACTTGTGAAAGTAACTTTGTTAAGTTTGTACAATGCTTTGCTTTATAACTTGCTGTGTTGCTGAAGTTTAGTGTTTTTAATTTAATAAGTAACTGCCAAACTGTTTTCCACAATAGTGACACCATTTTACATTCCCACCTGTAAAGTGTGAAGGTTCCAGTCTCTACCCATCCTTTTTTAAAAATATTTTTTATAGTCACCATACAGTACATCCTAAGTTCCTGATGTAGTGTTCCCCAATTCATTGTTTGTGTATAACAGCCAGTGCTTCATGCAATATGTGCCCTCCTTAATACCCATCCAGCCTCACCCAGCCCCCCAAACCCCTCCCTTCTAAAACTCTCAGTTTGATTCCCCAAGTCCAGAGTCTCTCATGGTTTGTCTCCCTCTCTGATTTCTTCACATTCAATTTTCCCTCCCTTCCTCTGTGATCTTCCATGCTATTCCTTATGTTCTACATACAAGTGAAACCATATGATAATTGTCTTTCTCTGCTTGACTTATTTCATTCAGCATAATCCCCTCCAGTTCCATCCATGTTGATGCAAATGGTGGGTATTGATCCTTTTTGATGGCTGAATAACACTCCATTGTGTGTGTGTGTGTGTGTGTGTGTGTGTGTGTGTGTGTGTGTATATATATATATATATATATCCCACATGTTCTTTATCCATTCATCTGTTGAAGGGCATCTCAGCTCTTTCCACAGTTTGGCTGTTCTGGACGTTGCTGCTATGAACATTGGGGTGCATGTGCCCCCTCTTTTCACTACATCTGTATCTTCAGGGTAAATACTCAGTAGTGCAATGGCTGGGTCATAGGGTAGCTCTATTTTTAATTTTTTGAGGAACCCCGTACTGTTTTCTAGAGTGGCTATACCAGCTTGCATTCCCACCAGCAGTGTAGGAGGAGGGCTCCCCTTTCTCCACATCCTCACTAACATTTGTTGTTTCGTGCCTCGTTAATTTTTGCCATTCTAACTGGTGTAACATGGTATCTCATTGTTTTTTGGGTGTTGAGTTTGAGAAGTTCTTTTTAAAGATTTTGTTTATTTATTTGAAACACATACAGAGAGAGTGAGCTTACAAGCAGGGAGAACAGGAGAGGGAGAAGCAGGCTCCCCTGCTGAGCAGGGAGCCCAATGCTGGGCTCCATCCTAGGATCCTGGGATCATGACCTGAGTGGAAGGCAGATGCTTCATCTACTGAGCCACCCAGGTGCCCAAGTTTGAGAAGTTTTTTTTTCTTTTAAAGATTTTATTTATGAGAGAGAGAGAGAGAGAGAGAGAGCGAGCATAAGAGGAGGGTGGGTCAGAGGGAGAAGCAGACTCCCTGCTGAGCAGGGAGCCTGATACTGCACTTGATCCTACGACTCCAGGATCATGACCTAAGTTAACCAACTGAGCCAACCACCAAGGAGCCAGAAAAGTTTTTTATAGGTCTTAGATACCAGCTCTTTATCTGTAATGTCATTTGCAAATATCTTCTTTAGATAAATGTACATTCAAATTCTTGCCCATTTATAGTTCAGTTATTCATCTGTTTTTGAGTTGTAAGAGTTGTCTGTATCTTCTAGATAAAAGACCCTTAAATCAGATATATAATTTGCAGATTTTTTTCTCCCATTCTATAGGTGTCTTTTCACTTTCTTCATAGTGTTCTTTGTAGCACAAAATTTTTTAATATTTACAATATACAGTTTTAGTTTTCTTTTTATCATCTGTGATTTTAATGTTATATTTAAGAATTTATTGTAAAATCTGAGGTCATGTGACATGTCCCAGTACCATTCATTGAAGATTATTTATTTCATTGATTGGTATTGGAAACCTTATCAAAATTCAGTTGACCATAAATACATGGGTATAATTTTAGATTCCAAATTCAATTCCATTGATCTCCTTATGCCTGGACCACACCGTCTTGATCTTTATAACTCTGTGGTAAGTTTTAAAGCTGGAAGTTGGAGCTCTACAATTTTATTCCCTTTTTTTTTTCAAGGTTGTTTTGGCCATTCTGGGTCCCTTACCTTCCATATGAATTTTTATTTGAGTATGACAATTTCTACAAAGAAGCCAGCCAGGATTCTTTTTTTTTTTTAATTTTTTATTTCTTTTCAGCGTAACAGTATTCATTGTTTTTGCACCACACCCAGTGCTCCATGCAATCCATGCCCTCTCTAATACCCATCACCTGGTTCCCCCAACCTCCCACCCCCTGCCCCTTCAAAACCATCAGATTGTTTTTCAGAGTCCATAGTCTCTCATGGTTCACCTCCGCTTCCAATTTCCCTCAACTCCCTTCACCTCTCCATCTCCCCATGTCCTCCATGGTATTTGTTATGCTCCACAAATAAGTGAAACCATATGATAGTTGACTCTCTCTGCTTGACTTATTTCACTCAGCATAATCTCTTCCAGTCCTGTCCATGTTGCTACAAAAGTTGGGTATTCATCCTTTCTGATAGAGGCATAATATTCCATAGTGTATATGGACCACATCTTCCTTATCCATTCGTCCGCCGAAGGGCATCTTGGTTCTTTCCACAGTTTGGCAACTGTGGCCATTGCTGCTATAAACATTGGGGTACAGATGGCCCTTCTTTTCACTACATCTGTATCTTTGGGGTAAATACCCAGTAGTGCAATTGCAGGGCCATAGGGAAGCTCTATTTTTAATCTCTTGAGGAATCTCCACACTGTTCTCCAAAGTGGCTGCACCAACTTGCATTCCCACCAAGAGTGTAAGAGGGTTCCCCTTTCTCCACATCCCCTCCAACACATGTTGTTTCCTGTCTTGCTAATTTTGGCCATTCTAACTGGTGTCACGTGGTATCTCAATGTGGTTTTAATTTGAATCTCCCTGATGGCTAGTGATGATGAACATTTTTTCATGTGTCTGATAGCCATTTGTATGTCTTCATTGGAGAAGTGTCTCTTCATATCTTCTGCCCATTTTTTGATATGATTATCTGTTTTTTGTGTGTTGAGTTTGAGAAGTTCTTTATAGATCCTGGATATCAACCTTTTGTCTGTACTGTCATTTGCAAATATCTTCTCCCATTCCGTGGGTTGCCTCTTTGTGAACATTCCTGAACTTCATAAAATCTATCTATGAAAGACCCACAGCAAATATCATCCTCAATGGGAAAAATCTTGCAGCCTTCCTGTTGAGATCAGGAACATGACAAGGATGCCCACTCTCACCACTCTTGTTCAACATAGTATTAGAAGTACTAGCAACAGCAATCAGACAACAAAGAGAAATAAAAGGCATCCAAATTGGCAATGAAGAAGTCAAACTCTCTCTCTTTGCAGATGACATGATTCTTTATATGGGAAACCCAAAATACTCCACCCCCAAACTACTAGAAATCATACAGCAATTCAGCAACATGGCAGGATACAAAATCAATGTACAGAAATCAGTGACTTTCTTATACACTAACAATGAAAATACAGCAAGGGAAATTAGAGAATCAATTCCATTTACTATAGCACCAAGAACCATAAGATACCTGGGAATCAACCTAACCAAAGAGGTAAAGGATCTGTACTCGAGGAACTACAGAACACTCATGAAAGAAATCGAAGACACAAAAAGATGGAAGACCATTCCATGCTCTTGGATCGGAAGAATAAACATTGTTAACATGTCTCTACTGCCTAGAGCAACCTATACTTTTAATGCCATTCCAATCAAAATTCCACTGGTATTTTTCAAAGAGCTGGAGCAAATAATCCTAAAATTTGTATGGAATCAGAAGAGACCCCGAATTACTAAGGAAATGTTGAAAAACA